TTAAGATGTATTAGTTAACTAATTAAGATATTTATATAAATTATTGTATATAAATGAACATTTCGTGATCACGGATTACTTCTTCAGTATAAACAGTTAACCACTATAAATAATCACTATAAATAATCACTATAAATAAATATTGTCGATTTGACATAATACAAAAATTGTGTAGTCACTAATGTAATATTGTTGACGCAAAAGATGTTATGCTGGTTTTGAGCTCCTCGTACATAAAATAATTGAGAATATTGTACATACTGATTGATAGTTGAAAATTGGGTGTCAAATCCTTGATTATTGTCATTATAACTGTCAATTATTTCAATTGGTTATCAATATTTCGTTGTTGAGTGACAATCAGATCAATGAAAAGTTACTGATAATGGTAGTCTAATAGTTATTAAAAAGAAAGAAAAATGTAATGTATGGAATTAATTTTTATTCACGGTCGCGCGATGAATCGTTAAACTATAAGTAGCGAATATGTATTGACAATTCCTGAAAACAATTACTAACATATCTTTTTATAAACTGCAAAAAACAGTACAAATGTAATATGTCTCTACTTGTCCGTCTCTAAGATTTCAGAGAGGCACATATTCGTTATTTTAACTGACAATTTTCATTTCTTCTCGAATTATTAAAGATATATTTTTAGAAAATATTAAACAATTTCATATAATGTGATAAATTAAAAGTTCTGTCCTACAAGTCAATTTCTATTCAATTTCTCTCTTATGCACTCGCGACAAGTAGAGGATAGTATCAGTAATTAAATTTGAAAAATAAAAAACATCTTACGTAAATATTCTGTTCTTTTGTTCTCGGAAGTTGCAAATCTTGTTTCTTGTTCGATTTCGAATCTAAGAAAAAAAGAAGAATCATGAAACCACTTTTGCGGTAAAGCGGTTAGAGCTACATGTTTTACAATCGCATTAATTCATACTTTTTTCTTTGCAACGAACACGGCATTCCGCAAAAATGAAAGAAGTCGAATAAATTATGTGTCTCATGCGACAGTGATCGCAATAAGCAACATGTTGTACACCTAATCTATGAGATCGTCGGCAAAAATCGAGTCATTTTTCATCGCGATGTCATTTTACGCAAACGGAAACTCTCTCAGAATGACGTAGATGCGTTAACGTTAGCTAAATGATTCTAAGATTTTTTAAAATTGCAATTTAGCTTGTCTTTCTCGAATAGTGAGTAGAATCAGCAGAAGAAAGTTATAAAAAGAAAAATGCGTAAGTTACGCGCATAATGTAACGTAATGGCGGTATATTGTTTCTACGCTGAAGTATCATGATTCTATTTTTTTCTTATCGTTCATTGCAATTTCATTTTTCCAATATTATTGGCAGTTTCTTTGGATATTCCTGGGATATCTTTATTGGTAAAAATAAGACTGTTGTTCAACTAGTGAATATAGCCAAATAAATAAAATATAAATTAAGAATATTGTATCACAAATGTAATATCATGTAATATCAGGAACAGTAGGTATATATAAATTCTGAGAAACAACTAAAAAAAGTTGTAAAAAATGTATAACGGATTACATTACTTTAAAAATGAAAAAATTGAAAAGATTGCACATGTTACTCGATTTTTTCAAGTCAGCCTCCTTTTCGAAGAATCGCCTAAAAGACAATATAATATAACTTGTATTACATAAGATAACTTGTTATTATGTATAAATTAAGCATAAAATTGTATGAAAACTGATCTTAACTAAAAAATTATATTAATTAATGTTATGAAAGACAAAAAAGTATTCCACTCATAATTATATGACGTGTTATTCAGCAAGAAATATTAACGTAAATCACTTTAAGTAAGATTAAGTAATTGATCAATCAAATGTAAGATTATATAAATGTAAGATTTATTATCGCCATTGAATCTGCTATTTTCAATTCAACAATTGTTTACAGTATAAATAATCAAAGACTTATAAAATCATCAAATATCGATTTTTATGTACGGATTTTTTAAAATTCTTGTACTCTATATCTGCCATTTTGAATTGCACATTTTTTATTTCAGATCTGAAATCAATGACTTAAAAAAACTTGTATTCGGTGGCTATACATTAAACTCGAGAAGATATCGCGCACTGTAAGTGCGCGAGTTGCTTTGGCACTTCAATTCAATCAATAACTTCTGAACAAGTAGTCGGAAATTAGTTTTTCAAAAAAGGATTTAAATTAGAAACATACAACTATAAGTATAAATTGTCAGATATTTGTTTTTATTTTTTTCTTCCGAATTATTTGTTTTATATTTCAAAATTTGTCAATTTTTTCCGGTTTTTTTACAATTTTTCCAAAGTTTTTTGTTTGGAATTTGAATAAAACATTTTCAGCATCGAAAAAATAGTTTTAATATTGTTGGAACATTTCTGAGTTAAATGCCGTAACAAAAGACTTCGATTTTTGTTTAGCCGGAAAAAATTAATGAAAAAGTTACTTCCGGAAAAAATCACTGTGTGACTATTTAAATGGAGGATGATGGAAAAAAACACGTCTGCCTAGTCCCTCCACTTAACCAAATTTTAATGAAAAAATTATGAAATAATACGCTATTTATGTACTATTCATATCCGCAAATAAAAAATTTTGCGTTTATTCCGTTTCGCTAAAAAAAAATTTTATGGGGGAGTAGACAGTCAGACAGTCTCCCCACCCGTTAAAAACAATCGATTTGAAAAATTAAACACACAGGATTTATGCGCTATTTATGCACGATTATTTCCAAGTATTTTCGATTTTTGCGCTGCAATCCTTAAGGCACTTCCCTTTTGGAGCGAACAGCCATATTCACCTCTAAGTCGTTTAAAATTCCAAAATTAAATACTCTGACTATACAAAATAATTCTCTGATTTATGCGCTACTATTTCCAAGCATTTTCGATTTTTGCGCTGCAATTTTTAAGACACTTTCCTCTTGAAATGAGCAGCCATATTCACTCCTAAGTCGTTTAAAATCGCAAAATTAAATACTCTGACTATGCGTAATAATTCTCTGATTTATGCGTTACTATTTCCAAGCATTTTGAATTTTTTGCCTAAGACAAAAGGGTGAAATCACCCAGTGCGAAATAGAACTGCGGAATAGAGAATGTGTTATTGAAGCAATCAATCCGCACTATTTCGCATTTGATGTTACGGAATAGAGAGTGCGTCATTGTGTTCTAAATCGTAAAGTCATCTAAATTATGTTCTTGTAATAAAGTCGTATTTTGAGAGGTTAAAATAATTTAATGCTGATTGATATGATAGAATTGCGTAATGTTGAGGCGAATGAAGTGTTACGCCGCGAATCGGCCATGATTCCCCCCCCCCTCCCTCGCCCATGGCTAATTATGCTAGAGCACTAGAAACGTGGGTATTCGGATCCACCATTTTTATTCCTTTTCCCACTCCTTACTCTGTTCCCATTCCACTGAGCTGTGACAGGTTGTAATCATTACATGTTATGATTTGTATTTGCTGCTTGAAATTTTGTATCTCCTTTCGTTCCATTTTTGCTCTCAAAATCAATTGAATATCTATCATAATATTAGTGCGGGACCTGAAGAGTACCTGGCGTTCAGATTATTCTAGATAAGGTGCCAAATACGTATATCAATTTGAAGAAAAGGATTGAAATTTCTCATCTGCGAGAAAGTGTAGTGATGTTTATTCACAAGTGTATTTATTTTACAGCAATACAGCAAGTTGTCGACGAATATTATCCGCAGGAAATTTAAATAATTGAATATCTTTTTCTGATCTATTATAGATCTTCTGATCTTTTTCTGATACAGTTTATCGCAACGTAACAAGGCATTTTATAAATTTTTGTCTTCGTTAATATATAATATTTCAGTTTTTTTATATTCTTCTTTTCGTCTCTTAGTCTAAAAATAGTGATAAAATTTCGAAGCGGAAATATATATAAATACGAAGCACAAGATTTCCAACAGCTTAAAAGCTAGTCAGAAATAATTTCTCGTAAAGACGTTTCGATGTCGAAAATAAAAGTCAAAAGTTTTCAAAATTTCTGATGATTGATTTCGATGGATTTTTGACTCCAATTTTGATTAATTTTCGAGTTGGAAATAAAATCTTGAATTGATCTAGTCAGCATAAAAATATACTACTAGTGCTACTAATGCAATAAGTAAATTCGACAAGTAGTGTCACTAATAGCGTAATAGTGGAAAAAATTTCATTAAAGTTTCAGCATTGAAATTTTATTGTGAAAATAAGTATTATTAATTAGTATCATATTTCAGAGGATACACGATAAAATTATAATACAAAAAAATTTTATTTATTTGAAATCCGAACTTCCACTTACCATGCTTCATTTCTGTGATCGTACGGAAACTGTTCCTTCGAAGAATCATGAACACCTATTTATAATGCTAATGGATGTATAGTTGTAACACATCTGTTCAAAGATGTTGTGAAAGAGGCGGAACACATAAAAAAGATACAATTAATGTTAAATATAATAGTAATGTACAAATGATGACCTATA